GACGCAACCGCAGTATGTTTTCACTTCGGAGCCAAGAGAATTTCTTCACTCTGAGTTTACAAGAGACTCACCTCTTCGAGACGAGCGACTCTCCAGTGTTAGTGTGATGGCGGTACCCAGCGAGTCTTCACATTGCCTGCGATCTGTGCAGTGGTCTGCCGGACTCTGTGTTTTCTCCCTGGTCGCCTCAGCATTGCAGAGTTTCCTCTCCTGAAAGAGCTGCACGGTGCCCGTCTTTTTAAAGATATCTCGCCCGTGTTTTTCTGGTTGCGGTCGATATTTGTCATCTTCTGATGGGCACGAGCGCTGTTTTGTGTGTTTGGCCTTTGAGTACGCAAAAGCAGGGCTCGTGGATGACTCATGTTCTTTTTGTGGGAACATGACCATCGCAACACTAAGATCGAGACTCAATGATCTAAAAGTGAGAGTCCCTGCATCCACCACCCTTTCTGCTTCCTCTAACAGAGCTGGTAGTTCGGCTGGGGGACAGGGTGATCTGAGGGTGACGGTGTGGAATGATCTGACGACAGGTTCTCGTCATCTATGGTGGCGAGGTCTTACAGAGCTGCAGGACAGGCGGCTGCTGCCATACATGCTATGAGCACCTTACAGGTCTACCAGGCCCAGCTGCTCAGAGACATGCACAAGGGCGGGACTGATCCAGGGACGTTTGACAAACTGCGTGCCACCACCGACCTCGCTCTCTGGGCGACTAAAGTGGCCGCGCGATCCCTGGGTCAGGTGATGGCCACTAACGTGGTCCAGGAAAGTCACCTTTGGCTCAACCTGGCCGATATGCGGGACGCCGAGCAAACTCGTCTGCTTGACGCCCCCATATCCCAGGCTGGCCTTTTTGGCGGTGCGGTTGAGGACTTTGCCCAGCAGTTCTCAACCACCCAGAAGCAGTCTGAGGCCATCAAACACATTCTGCCCCGACGGCCAGTTGCTGCCTCCACCCAGCCGTCGATACAGACGCCTCAGCCTGCTCGCCGCCGAGTGCGCCCTCCTACGGCTCCCCCTCCTGCTTCCTCCCCCCCCAGCAGCAGCCTTTACCCGGGCGTGGAGGAAGCCGCAGGAAGGCGCCACAGCCCCCTTGCCCCGCTAAGGCCAAGCGGCGGTCCTGAGACGGGCTGCTCAGTGATGGCATCATTTCTTTCTCAGGAGGCGGTAGCAGGCCCCCTCCTTCCCCCGGTGGAGGGCCGGGGGAGAATCTTTTGTTCCGCTGCTCACCCACGGGTGGGCAGTACCCTAATTTGGTTAAAGAAAGAATTAACACTGAGGGCTGTCTCTGTCTCTGAGGGCGCGGATGCAATCAAGGCTGTCCCTCCAGCCGAGATGAGGTCAGGATTTTACAGCCCCTACTTCATTGTCCCCAAGAAAACCGGTGGGTTACGACCGATTCTGGACCTTAGCGTTTTGATCCACACCCTTCACTGGTTGCCGTTCAAAATGCTCATGGCCAAACGCATTTTCGAATGTGTTCGGCCCCAGGATTGGTTTGCAGCAAAAGAACTGAAGGACGCCTACTTTCATGTCTCCATTTTACCTCGACACAGACCGTTTCTTCGGTTTGCTTTCGAGGGGCAGCCATATCAGTACACGGTTCTCCCATTCGGGCTGGCTCTGTCTCCTTGCGTCTTTACGAAGATTGTCGAGGCAGCCCTTGTTCCCCTTCGTGAACAAGGGGTTTGAATCCTGAATTATCTCGAAGACTGGCTAATCTTAGCTCACTCTCGAGATCAGGTCTGCGAACACAGGGACCTCGTGCTCCGGCACCTAGCCCGTCTGGGGCTTCGGGTCAACCGGGAGAAGAGCAAACTTTGCCCCGTGCAGAGGATCTCTTTTCTCGGTATGGAGATAGACTCGGTTGCCATGTCCGCGCAGCTTACGAGCGAGCGCGCACACTCACTGCTGACTTGTCTTCGACAGTTTGAGGGCAAGAGTGCGGTTCCACTGAAACTTTTTCAGAGGCTCCTGGGGCATATGGCATCCGCAGGCGCGGCAACGCCACTCGGATTGCTTCATATGAGACCACTTCAGCTGTGGCTTTGTGATCGAGTCCCGAGGTGGGCATGGCATCACCGTACGCTCAGAGTTCCAGTGACTCCGATCTGCCGTCAGACCTTCACCCCGTGGAGGAACCTCAGCTTTCTACGAGCCGGAGTTCCCCTAGAGCGAGTTTCCAGGCATGTTGTTGTCCACAGATGCCTCTGCCACGGGTTGGGGCGCAATGGGCATGCAGCCGCGGGCTCCTGGACAGGAACCCAGCGCCTCATGCATGTCAATTGCCTCCATTTGCTGGCAGTACCCCTTGCCCTGCACCGTTTCCACGCGTTGCTCAGGGGTCAACACGTACTAGTCCGATCAGACAATACTGCAACAGTAGCTTATATCAACCGTCAGGGTGGTCTACGCTCGCGTCGGATGTCGCAACTTGCACGCCACCTCCTCTTATGGAGTCAGAAGCACCTAAGATCCCTTCATGCTATCCACATTCCAGGAGAGCGGAACTTTCAGCTGAGGAGCTGTCTCTGCTCCGTCCAGTCTCTGGTGAATGGCGACTCCATCCCCAGGCGGTACAGCTGATATGGGACTATTTCGGGGACGCACAGCCAGATCTGTTTGCCTCCTACGACTCATCCCATTGCGCCCTGTATGGTCTCTATGCACGGCGGTATTTCCGGTGATGGTGTAAGGATGCTCGATAACTTCCGCCGATCGTAGAGTCCAATGCAATACTGAGAATTTATATTGAATTTTGTACTCCATGGTAATACTAAAAAAAGTTAGTCACAAAACCAGATAAAACATACAGCCCTCGTTGTGTTTATGCTTCTTTTTAAAATTATATTAAATAAACATAACTATTTATAAAATTACATCTAAACGTATGTACTTTCGTTTCAAAGACAGGAGGACAGTAAATTTTGAAGACTCTGCCATAATCCTGTTTTCCTTGGTTTTCCTCTGCTTTTATCTCCCCAACCGGAAACTGACGAGCATCCTTGCGTCAAATGTTGAACTTATGCGTGCATATAGCCCATTACTCTCTGACCGAGGGCACGCTCGGCACAGACGCACTGGCGCACAGCTGGCCGTGGGGCCTACGCAAATATGCGTTTCCCCCAATAAGCCTTCTCGCACGGACTCTGTGCAAGATCAAGGAGGACGAGGAGCAGGTCATTTTGGTAGCCCCATACTGGCCCACCAAGACCTGGTTCTCCGAACTGATACTCCTCGCGACAGCACTTCCTTGGCCAATTCCTCTTAGGAAGGACCTCCTTTCTCAGGGACGGGGCACCTTCGCCCCGAACTCTGAAGCCTACATGTGTGGCTCCTGGACGGGACGAGGAAGGTTTAAGTACCCTGCCACCTACGGTGGCGGCTACCATCACTTCCACTAGGGCGTCGTCCACGAGACACGTCTATGCTTTGACGTGGAACCTCTTTGTCAACTGGTGTTCTTCTCGCCGAGGACCCCCGGAGATGCTCGATCAGTGTTGTGCTTTCCTTCCTGCAAGACGGGTTGGAGTGAAGGCTGTCTCCCTCCACCCTGAAGGTGTATATGGAAGGCTGTCTCCCTCCACCCTGGAGGAGGCAGACCCAGCCTTGGCACTGCTCTGTCCAGTACGGACCTGTTTCAGGACCTCAAACCAGCTCTTTGTCTGTTATGGTGGGAGCCAGAAGGGAAGGGCTCTCTCGTAGCAGAGGTTGTCTCACTTGATACTGGACACCATTGCTTTGGCTTACCAGCAGCAAGGTCGACCGTGCCCCCTTGGTGTGACAGCCCACTCCACCCGGAGTGTGGCTTCCTCTTGGGCTCTAGCGCATGGCGCCTCGCTAGCAGACATCTGCAGAGCTGCAGGCTGGGCGACACCCAACACATTCGCTAGATTCTATAATCTCAGAGTGGAGCCTGTGTTCTCTCTTGTACTCGCTCATCCAGCCTGTATTGGACCCGCTCAGGTGTCTTCGCTTGCTCACCATTCCACTCCACGGACTGGATAAATTGGATTTCTCCTCAGGTGAGCCTTCTATTGAAGCCCTGAGTTCCTCCATCACTGTTGATGCTGACGCCAGTATCTTGCTTGGACGTCAGCTAGGTGCCTCCGTGTGCATGGTTCCTGCTAGTTACCCCCACAAGTGTATTTCCACTGTAAGCCTCTCTGAGCATGTGTCTTCCCTCGGCAAGCCACCTTGCCACTCCTGGAGTTAAGATTCTGCCACTCTACGGGTTGGTGACTCCAGTTCCTCCATACGGAGCCCCCTGGGCCGTATGTGTATTCTTAAGTCCTCCCTATGGGTAGGCGTACTGCGACATATTTCCTCAGAGATTTGCTCCCCAGTGTACCTTGGTATTCCTGTGTTAAGTAGGACTCCTCGTCCATGTTAAGTTCTCTTTCGAAAGAGTAGGGGTGTAACCCCGGCATCCTGGCCAAATTTGCCCAGTGGCCTCTGTCCATCATGGCCTCCTAATCATCCCCATATACACCAATTGGCTTCATCACTGTCTCCTCTCCACCAGTAAGCTGGTGTGTGGTGAGCGTTCTGGCGCAATATGGCTGCCGTCGCATCATCCAGGTGGATGCTGCACATTGGTGGTGGTTGAGGAGATCCCCCCCCTCTATGTGAAGCGCTTTGAGTTTCCAGAAAAAAAAGCGCTATATAAATGTAATGAATTATTATTATTATTATTATTATTATTAAGTTCACGACAGGGGATCAGACTTTCACAGGGCACTGGAAGACAGCTGTGAAGCTGGCGTGATTACACGGGGGACCCCCATTCTCCAACATACAATGTAACTCAGAGTGACTATGAAAGTCACTCCTACTCAGGGAACGAGGGTTACATACGTAACTGTGACTGTGTTTATAAGCTGTGTTTTGTGTGTAGTTTTGTGTGTGTTTGCTATTTAAAGTGGGACAAAAGACCCCTTTCAGTAGGAAATAAATCAGCAGAAAAGGAAACTGTTTTTAAATTAAGTTTCTTTGTGCAGATCTAGAGAAGGGTTTATTGAAGGCCCTGAAGAAGTTGGATGACTATGTGAGCTCTCCTCTACCAGATGAGATCGATGAGAACAGTGCTGATGATGTCACTTCCTCCACCCGCCCCTTCCTGGATGGTCAGGAGTTCACTCTTGCCGACTGCAACTTGCTGCCAAAGCTACACATTGTCAAAGTGAGATAGACACCCTACAGACTAATCCTTCAAGGAGCATTTCACCCATTTCAACATTAATCTTTATTGAAAGTGGATCATATATGTAGTCGAGCTGTAAAAGAATTTTTGAATTTGTTGCCCTCTTGACCGAGAAAAGACAGAAAATAACTGAAGGGTGCATTTGTATGAAAGATTACAACACCCACAATGCACCAGCAGATTTTCAAAATCCTCTTCTTCCATATCATGTTTAGTTTCTTCTGTAATTGTCATACAGTACTTCCTATCTCCACAGCGCTTGTTAGCTTAGCTTCCAAAAACAAGATGACGGATATTGATTTCAGTATCTACAAGTGAAGTCCCATCCACTGATCTGTAATAGGCGAGTGGGTCCCACACTCTTGAATAATGATCAGCTAAGTTTGTAGTCTCTACACTTTTCAATGAAAACTTCCTGCTTATTATGATGCAAAATGACGATTTTTACGTCATAATAAGCAGGAAGTAAAACATTTAAATCCTTATTTCTCCCATCTCAGAGGAAAATAAGGGAATAAACCATGACCATTCAAAAAATATGACTGTTTCTAAAGATACAAAGCTTAATGCAAATGGGTGAAGTGTCCCTTTAAGCAAAAGAGTTTGAGAATCAATGCTTAGCTTCTCTTTTCCTTCCTTTAGGTTGTGTGTCAGAAGTTTCGAGGTTTCTCCATCCCTTGCTCTCTGACATCTCTGTGGCGATACCTGGATGCAGCGTATGCCAGAGAGGAATTTTCCTCCACTTGCCCCAGCGATGAGGAGATACACGTGGCCTACTCTTCTGTTGTGAAGGCGCTCAAATAGGAGGACACACACACATTCTCTTTCCAGATTGTCCTAGTGTTTCAAATGTTTCCTTTATGTCTCAAGCCCCTACAATTGTTTGCACCAGTAGGGTTTTGAGGTCTCACTTTTAAACTAAATGTGGTCTTATAGTTCATATAGTTCATATTTTTTCATGTTTCATGTCATGTGTACAAGTGCTTTGCTAGCAGTTACAAACAGGATATTGTTGCCTCCTGTCCCTTCCTCTCACTGTCATTATTTGGATGATGTAACATGAGAGCTTTTCACTTAGATCTTCTTAAGTCGCATGCATTTCATAAACTGTCTCCAAGTTGTCCAAACTGCTCTTACATAGATTGATATGATACAAAATTATACAAGTATCCTAAAAGTACTCCTTACAAATCATGTTTTATATTGCCAATCTTATAAAGTTATACCTTATGTGAGATGGACAAACTAAAATAGAAGTAATTATTCACTGAAAATCTTTTAAATCAGGTACCGTCCCCAAACAACAGTCTTATCTCGTAGTTGTATGTGCAAATCAGAGTCACTAGAACAGTACTTCTCAAACCTGTCCCGGGGACTCCCCACCACTGCACATTTTGTACGTCTCCCTCATCTAAAACAACTGATTCAACTCATCAGCTCATTAGTACAGACTGCAAGACTTGAATTGGTTGTGACTTGTAAGGGAATAGTGCAATGGTTTGAGAAGCACTACGTATAAGCTTCCATCCAAATATCACTGTCAATGTCAAAACTGAAAACACTGTGTGAAGTTTATGCAGGTTTGTTACTTTCTACAAGAGAAAACCATTAATGGCAGCAAGCAAAAATTTTGTGGGCATGAAATTTTTTATGTTTCAAGGAAATACAAAAGGAATTTACACTCATCGGCCACTTAACCTTGCTAGTATTTTGTCACCAGGCAGAATGGATCCACGCTTTCATGTTGTTTACGCCAATTTCTGCCCCTACGATCTTGGACAGCATAAATTGAGACTCGTCAGACCAGACAAATTTTTACCAATCTTCTATTGTCTAATTTTGGTGCGCCTGTGTGAATTGTAGCCAGGATTGGCTGTGTAGCCCCTCTGCTTCAAGGTTCAGAGATGCTCTTCTGCATAGTTTAATTGTTACAAATGTTTATTTGAGTTACTGTTGCCTTTCTATCAGCTCGATTTTATTTATTTTATTTCATCACTTAAATCACCTTTCTTCCCCATTCTGATGCTTGAACTTCAGCAGATCATCTTGACCATGTCTACATGCCTAAATGCATTGAATTGCTGCCATGTGATTGGTTGAGTAGATATTTGGATTAACAAGCAGTTGAACAGGTGCACCTAATAAAGTGACTGTGAGTGCTTAAATGTGTGACTTTTTAAATCGCCAAAAAAAGGAAGAAGAAATGGGTGACTTTTTAGTATTTAATTTGAGTTTCAGTTTAAGTTTAGTCATAGAAGTTGATGGCATTTTTTTTCAAGGGACCATCATTAACAGGTTTAATGCTGTTTTATGTTTTAGTCTAATCTCCATTCTTTAAAGGCTCTGTTTACACGAGAACAATTCCGGGTGAAAACGTAAAAATATTTTTTCGGATGTGCCTTTCGTTTACACGGCGACGGCATTTTTAGGGCTTGAAAACGCATAAAAGTGAAACCAACCTCCAGAGTGGAAATCTTAAAAACGCTCCACTGTCGCGTTCCCGTGTGAACGGAAAAAAACGGAAAAGTCTGCTTGACTGTGAAGGTTGTACGCAGGCACGCGGGCTTGGTGTTGTTGTAGTATGCACTCTTAGCCGCCTGGAGTGCATACTACATTGAATTTCACAGACTTTTTTCGTCACCATCTGCATGCGGATTTCCCACCCAAAACGCTCGTCTAAACGCAGAATAAAAAGTGATGACCCAACGCCACTTTTGCGTTTTCTCTTCAGAATCGTTTCCGTGTAAACATAGCTTCAGTTCATGCAGTTTCCAAGAGGATTTGTATATGTAGTAGGCTAGTATCTGTATACCCAGCCCTCTTCCTGTGCACTTCTGCTTTCACTTCCTCTTAACCGCTTAATGCTCATTTCCAAACATCGTACTCTGCACTTAAATGGACAACACAACATCAAATATTGGTTTGTGGGGATTTTATTGAGTAGATGAATTTTACAAGTATACATTTTTCCTGCATTTATAAAATTGTTATTCAGCAGATTATAATAAAGATTAAATAAAACATTAAGTGTGGAGTAGATTTTTTTCTTGATCCTTCATGTTTCGATATTGCTGGTTTAAAAATGTACATTCAAAGGAAATTATTACTGAAAAGTACAACATATTTAAAATATACAGTATTTAATTCAAAGATTAAAACATTTTTATTAAAACTAAAAATTTGAAAAAAGAACAGAAAACTTGTGTTGTGTTCTATAGAAAAGGTGCTGGCTCTATAATATGACCTGTTCATATGAAAATCTATTTTTCTAGAATTAATAAAAAAGTTATTAACTTTTTATTTTACTATTGTTAGTTTTTTTTTACAGCAGACAATACAAAACAGATTAGCCTAAACTTAGCCTAAGCCGTGTGTGTGTGTGTGTATGAGAGAGAGAGTGAGAGCGTGTGAGCGTTGGGTAACTATGACTAATTCTGATAAGCCTCAACAGGGTTGGGGAGTAACGGAATATATGTTACTTAGTTTACGTATTTAAAATACAAAATATGAGTAACTATTTCATTACAATTACATTTTAAATGGGTGGTATGGCAAATTACAGTTACAGCCGAAATGTGTTTTCAACAAAGTGATTACTTTGACTTTTAATGTCATTTATTTCATTTAAACATTAATGTAAACTGTAACGTAAATAGCGATTGGTGATTCTCTGACTCTGACAGTAGGCCTATGTAAAAAAAGCCTAAGCTTTTGGTCATGTTCATACCCTTGCAGAACATGCAAAATTTTAATAATATTAAAAAAATGAGAGGGAGCATAAAAAATGCATATTATTTTAATTCAGTACTGTCCTAAAGTTTCCTATTTCACATAACAGATGTTTGCATACACTCCACAAGACAAAATAACTGAATTTATAAAAATTGCCCCATTCAAAAATGTACACACCCTTGAATATTAACTGTCTGTCATTACATGAATGATCCGCAACTGTTTTCTTGTTTTATGATAGTTTGTGAGTCCCATATTTGTCCTGAACAGTTAAACTGCCTGCTGTTCTTAAGAAAAATCCTCCGGATCCTGCACATATTTTTAGATTTTCCAGCACCTACTGTATATTTGACACCTTTCCAACAAATCACTTTGATTTTGAAATCGTCTCGGTTACGGATGTAACCCTCGTTCCCTGAGTAGGGAACGGAGACGTTACGTCAGAAGTGACGGAGAATGGGGGTTTCACATAGAAAGCCAATCCTCTTCGAGTATTAAAAAACGAGCCAATGGCAAAGAAATGCCATGGGTCTGCGGAATTTGCATAGCGTATCTCCGCCTCACCCCGTGAGTATAAAAGGAGGAAGCGGACGCCACCGCAGTATGTCTTCGCTGAGGAGCCGAGACTGAACTTAAGCGTCTACCCAGCGGTACAGCGGAAGTGGCAGGGAGACGTAACGTCTCCGTTCCCTACTCAGAGAACGAGGGTTACATCCGTAACCGAGACGTTCCCTTTCGTAGTCACTTCGAGTTACGTCGGAGAATGGGGGTCTGTGCCATCGCGCCATCTTCGTAGCTGTCTTCCAGTGCCCTGCGAAAGTCTGGACCCCTGAACATAGCTTATAACCAGGGATCCTACTTTGACACAGGAATACCAAGGTACACTGGGAAACATATCCCGGGAGGGACATGCTACCAGATGCCTACCGAAGGAGGACTTACAAATACACATATGGCCGTATTAGGGACTACATATGGAGATCACTGGAGCACCAACCGCAGGTGGCAGAACTTAACTCCAGGGGTGGCAGATGGCTTGCCGAGGGAAGACACATGCTCAGAGAGGCTTACAGTGGAAATACACATGTGGGGGTTACTAGCAGGAACCATGCACATGGAGGCACCTAACCGACGTCCAAGCAAGACACTGGCGTCAGGATCAACAGTGCTGGAGGAACTCAGGGCTTCCGTGGAAGACTCAACTGAGAAAAATCGCACTTATCCAGTCGGTGGAGTGGAATGGCGAGCAAGCGAAGACACCTGAGCGGGTCCAGTACTGGCCAGGTGAGCGAGTACAAGAGAGGACACAGGCTCCACTCGGAGATTATAGAATCTGGCGAATGTGTTGGGTGTCGCCCAGCCTGCAGCTCTGCAGATATCTGCTAGCGAGGCGCCATGCGCTAGAGCCCAAGAGGAAGCCACACTCCGGGTGGAGTGGGCTGTCACACCAAGGGGGCACGGACGACCTTGCTGGTAAGCCAAAGCAATGGTGTCCACTATCCAGTGAGACAACCTCTGCTTTGAGAGAGCCCTTCCCTTCTGGCTGCCATCATAACAGACAAAGAGCTGTTCTGAGGTCCTAAAACACTGCGTTCTGTCTACGTAAGCACGGAGGGCACGTACTGGACAGAGCAGTGCCAAGGCTGGGTCTGCCTCCTCCAGGGCAGCGCTTGCAGGTTCACTAACTGGTCCCGGAAGGGAGTGGTAGGAACCTTGGGCACATATCCAGGCCGGGGTCTCAGGATCACGTGAGAGTAACCTGGCCCGAATTCCAGGCACGCTTCGTCAATGGAAAATGTGTGCAGGTCCCCTACCCTCTTGATGGAGGCCAGTGCAACCAGGAGCGCTGTCTTAAGCGACAGGAACTTAATCTCGACTGATTGCAGAGGCTCAAAGGGAGGCCTCTGCAGGGCGCTTAAAACCACTGAGAGGTCCCAAGAGGGAACGAGAGGAGGGCGAGGAGGATTCAGTCTCCTCGCTCCTCTCAGGAACCTGATGATCAGGTCGTGCTTCCCCAGAGACTTACCTTCAACTGCTTCGTGATATGCGGCAATAGCAGCCACATACACCTTCAGGGTGGAGGGAGACAGCCTTCGCTCCAACCCATCTTGCAGGAAGGAAAGTACGACACTGTTTGAGCATCTCCGGGGGTCTTCTCGGCGAGAAGAACACCAGTTGACAAAGAGGTTCCACTTCAACACATAGACGTGTCTCGTGGACGACGCTCTAGCGGAAGTGATAGTAGCCGCCACCGCAGGTGGCAGGGTACTTAAACCTGCCTCGACCCGTCCAGGAGCCACGAGGGTGCCACAGGGTGCCCCGTCCCTGAGAAAGGAGGTCCTTCCTCAGAGGAATTGGCCAAGGAGGTGCTGTCGCGAGGAGTATCAGTTCGGAGAACCAGGTCTTGGTGGGCCAGTATGGGGCGACCAAAATGACCTGCTCCTCGTCCTCCTTGATCTTGCACAGGGTACGTGCGAGAAGGCTCACTGGGGGAAACGCACATTTGCGTGGGCCCCGCGGCCAGCTGTGCGCCAGTGCGTCTGTGCCGAGCGTGCCCTCAGTCAGAGAGTAATACAGGGCGCAATGGGATGAGTCATGGGAGACAAAAAGATCTATCTGTGCGTCCCCGAACTGATCCTAAATCAGCTGGACCGACTGGGGATGGAGTCGCCATTCGCCAGAGACTGGACGGAGCCGTGACAGCTCGTCGGCTGCACAGTTCCGAACTCCTGGAATGTGGATAGCACGAAGGGACCTCAGGTGCTTCTGACTCCATAAGATGAGGTGGCGTGCGAGTTGCGACATACGGCGAGAGCGTAGACCCCCCTGGTGGTTGATGTACGCTACTGTCGCGGTATTGTCTGAACGGACTAGTACGTGTTGACCCTTGAGCAACGCCCGGAAGCGGTGCAGGGCAAGGCGTACTGCCAGCAACTCGAGGCAATTGACATGCATGAGGCGCTGGGGTCCTGTCCAGGAGCCCGCGGCTGCATGCCCATTGCACATGGCGCCCCAACCCGTGGCAGAGGCATCTGTGGAGACAACAACATGCCTGGAAACTCGTTCTAGGGGAACACCGGCCCGTAGAAAGCTGAGGTTCCTCCACGGGGTGAAGGTCTGACGGCAGGTCGGAGTCACTGGAACTCTGAGCGTACCGTGATGCCATGCCCACCTCGGGACTCGATCGCGAAGCCACAGCTGAAGCGGTCTCATTTGAAGCAATCCGAGTGGCGTTGCCGCGGCTGCGGATGCCATATGCCCCAGGAGCCTCTGAAAAGTTTCAGTGGGACCGCATTCTTGCCCTCGAACTGTCGAAGACAAGTCAGCAGTGAGTGTGCGCGCTCGCTCGTAAGCTGCGCGGACATGGCGACCGAGTCTATCTCCATACCGAGAAAAGAGATCCTCTGCACGGGGCAAAGTTTGCTCTTCTCCCAGTTGACCCGAAGGCCCAGACGGGCTAGGTGCCGGAGCACAAGGTCTCTGTGTTCGCAGACCTGATCTCGAGAGTGTGCTAGGATCAGCCAGTCGTCGAGATAGTTCAGGACTGCCAAGGCTGAAGGGGAACAAGGGCTGCCTCGACAATCTTCGTGAAGACGCGAGGAGACAGAGCCAACCCGAATGGGAGAACCGCGTACTGATATGCCTGCCCCTCGAAAGAAAACCGAAGAAACGGTCTGTGTCAAGGTAAAATGGAGACATGAAAGTAGGCGTCCTTCAGGTCTATCGCTGCAAACCAATCCTGGGGCCGCACACATTCGAAAATGCGTTTGGCCGTGAGCATCTTGAACGGCAGCCGGTGAAGGATGCGGTTCAAAACGCGCAGGTCCAGAATTGATCGTAACCCACCGGTTTTCTTGGGGACAATAAAGTAGGGGCTGTAAAACCCTGACTTCATCTCGGCTGGAGGGACGGCCTCGACTGCACCCTTCGCCAGCAGGGTGGCAACCTCCGCTCTCATGATCGGGGCATTGCCACAGACCACCGTAAAGCGGACTCCCCTGAAGCGGGGAGGAGACCGTGCGAACTGAATCGCATAGCCGAGCCTGATAGCTCGGGGCGAACCCAACGGGACAGACTGGGGAGCTCTAACCAGCCCCAACTGATCCAATGGAATCATCCGAGCCACAGGCGTCCCCCCGGAGGGGCAGCGGGGCGGAGAGATCGGCACAGGCGAGGGTGGCATAGCGACCCTGCGCGTGTGTGTCACGCTCCGCGCCCTGACAGAGGAGACCAGGGAAGGACCAGCGTTCCACGGGGGTCTGCTCTGCCAGGGGTCTGGCGATAGAGGGGG